ATTAATCATGTATACCTTAAAAGCAGAGATTAGGTTTATTTTTATTTCCCAGGTGCTAAATCAAGTGATTTGCATATAATAGATACTCAATAAAGGCTTGTTGAATCCAACATTGATACATTTTTCTAAAATATTTTCTCTCCTTGTCTGGCCAGTGTGGCTCAGTGGTTGAATGTCAACCCATGCACCAAGAGGTCGCCAATTTGATTCCCAGTCAAGACACATGCCCAGGTTGTGGACCTAATCCCCAGTGGGGGGCATGCAGGAGGCAGCTAATCGATATTCTCTCTCATTGATGTTTCTATCTCTCTCTCCCCTCTCTCTTCCTCTCTCTCTAAAAAAAAAAATCAATAAAGAAAAAAAAATTAAAATATATTCTCTTCTTTTTTACGTTGTTTCTATTATAGGAATGTAGCACAGACCTTTCATAATACAGAAATCTGTAGATTATGGCAGGAATAGTTCTACCTATTTATAATTTATACTTAATATACTTTTTATATCTTACTGATTAACACTGGTTTATGAAGAAACAGCTCCAATATTTATGGTGTCTCCTTTTTTTCCAAATAAAAGCAAAAGTTTATTTAGAAAGTCACAGAGGTAGAAGTGAGCTGTGGAAGAAATGGATTCAGGCAAAAGAAAGGTCCTTGGAGCTTAGGAAAAAGAAAGGCAGAGCGAATGCATGTAGAGGAAGGAGAGAGGAGAAACAGACGATTGTGCTCCAGAGAGGGAGACAGAGAGACAGAGAGACAGAGACAGAGAGAGGGAGACAGCCTATGGCTTCTAACTAGCGTTAAGTCATATTTTATAAAGTTTCTTCATTCAGCTTTTGCAGAAATTATACATTTTAAAAATACCAAGAAAATAACCAATAAGGAAATTAAATCTCAATTTCAAGGTCAGGGAACATTTCTAAAGTATTCTAGTTACAATATTTCTATCAAGAGAATTTGGAAAATATTACTGCCCAATATTTTTCTATAATACCAGTGAAAATCTAAAGGAAAAAAATATTACTTTTTTTCCAAAGTGAGAAAGATATAGGAGCACCTGCTTTAAGGGTCCTTATTTTGAGGGGTGGGGGGTAGGGTGGCAGGAATAACCTGGCTTAAATAGCCAGGTCAATCTTCTTTGTATGAATTAAAGAACTGAATAATATCAGGGAGAATTTGGGAGTCACCATTTATGATACAACTTCTTACTTGGAAATTTTCCTGTTGGTTTTAGACTATCAGACAATTTTTATAAATGCACCTTAATATATAGACTTAAATACTCTAAGATTTTTTTCATTATACTTCCCCTTGTCCTTAATATTATATTTGGCACAATATTATAGAAATGCACATGATTTGTGCAGATTCTTTTTTGTCGTTATCAGTCTGTTTTGTGTAATGGGGCATTGACAGATCAGTCCAGGCTCTAATTGTAAGGATAAAAAATTATTCACATTTTAATGCACTTCTCTCCATAGTAATGCCAAAGTTAGATAGAATATTTTAAAAATTATCTATGGAAGAGGATAGTTGCTCTTGTTTTTTAACTTTCTTGTTTTTAAATCAAGTAATTCTTTGTTAGCTGCTCTGCTGAGTCCTGCCATAATGAACTTGTATCCTTTGACAAGATGCAGAAATGGCACTAATAGTTATTAAAAGCATGACAACATTAGTCTTTAGCAACTTCATTTTTCACTTGGTACCCACACTTAAGTATTTTATCAAACTGTAGTTAAACACTGAAAATTAGAGTGAACAATAGATCTATCCTCTTCAGCCAAAAAAAAAATGTGATATAAAGTAAAGGGATTAGACGGGAGAGGCAGTGTAAATAGTTGTTTTCATGTTATTAAACATAATTCTAATCACTGATGGCTGGTGAAACTAAAGTGTCAGAGAAGGAAGTGTTCTAAGAACGTTCACTACAATTATTTAATTTTTGGAATTTCAATATTATAGAATATATTAAATACATATATATATATAGATTTGATTTATTAAACATTACATGAGAACTCTAGATTGAAGAATTTTTACATCAGAATACTTTAGTTATCAGCTCCTCTAATCACAATTTTTAGTTCAGCTTACATTCATAACACACCTTAATAGGAGGTTCTCAACAAATATTAATGACTACCCCCAAACCTCTTGCCACCTGATTATAAACTTCACTGGATACTAGAGGAATGAAAAGATAAATGCTATACAGTTCCTTTCTAAGTGGTGAGCAGGACATGCATGTAAATAACTACTACACAGGGTAGAAAGTGTAAGTGCTAAGCAAACAGAAAACTATGAGGACATAGCAAAGGAAGAAGTAAATAATTAGCATAGCCCACAACAAGCATTTATAAATGACATGTACCAATCTTTCTAGCCAGCTTGTATCTGAAACTTTTCACTATGTTTGTAACATTCCCTCTCCTTATGATTCTTGGTAAGGCAGAGCTCTACTTCCACTGCGAAAACTAAACATGGCCTTTTCATGCATTTTTGCAACTAAAACATGGGCCCATGACTTGGGCTCAATTGACCTTACTTCACCTCCCCACAACTCTGGCCAACAGCAAAGACTGCACAGAACTCTGTGTGGTAGTGGCTGCAATTGCAAATAAAGTCTCTAGAGCATCTGCAGCAGAGGTTTTCAAAAACTGCAGAGCAAGCTGGAGCATCTAGTGATGAGGACAGTGGTTGTAATGTTCTCACTGGGCAAGTTTTGCAATGTGATTTTGAACATTGTTTCTGGTTGCATAACTGTGAACCCGATTCACCAGTCTTTCTAGTTATTTTGTAGGCAACCCAATATTCTTAAATGAGTCTTCATTCAAACCAACCAGAATTTGTTCTATAGCTAGCAACTAAGAAACTTGGTGGAGCTCTCTCTCGGCACCAAGGAAAAGCCATGCGAAGACACAACCAGGAGGAGAACCTTCACCAAGAACCCAAACATGCTGCCACCATGATCTCAGTTTCCAAGCTCCAGAACTGTAGGAAATAAATGTTTGTTGTTTAAGTGCCTCCCTCCCCAAAGAACCTTGGTAGACACCACACTTAATAAATAGTAGCCAACTTTTCTTCTATAATAGTCCCACCCACTAACCTAGCCCAGGATTAATCAGGACACTCGATCACATATAATATAGTGACAGCAATGGTCCCAAGTTTGGCTAACCATCTAAGTCAAACTGAAGAACTTTTAAATTCAAGCTAATGGAATTTGATCAAGAGGATGAGAGGGCATGATTCATTCTACTGCATTTATTCAGTACCTATACTATGTTTCAGGCACTCTGCAGGTGCTAATGCTCAATGGCAGCAAAAGCAAAAATTATCTCTTCTCTCATGGAGATTAATGTTTTGTGGGGAAACAGAAAGTAATCTCATAATCATCATTATAAGTGACATATATGTTTCAAAAGTACACAATTTTATGACAGTATGTAACAAAGGAACCTACAAAAATTGGGAGGTTTCAGAGGGATGCTTGACTTGCGATCTGAAGAATGAGAGGAATCTGATTTAGGCCTTGAAGGTTTTCATTCAAAGATGCAAGAATGAAAGTGTCAGATCAGTAATCAGATTAGATGTCTAATCTCCTGGAACTATAAGAAAATTGGAGACCAAGAGAGAGCAGCCACTTTTTTTGATGGTTCTTTATTGTTAATATTATTGAGATATAATTGACATACAACACTATATCAATTTCAGGTGTACAACATAATGATTTGACAAATATATACATTGCAAAATGATCACAACAATAATGCAGTCAACATCTATCACCACACATAGTTATAATCTTTTTCTTATGATGCGAACCCTCAAGATCTACTCTCCTAGCAACATTCAAAAATATTGACTATAGTCACCAGGCTATACATTACGTCCTCAGGACTAATTTAAAAAATTTGTTTTATTTCTCATCTGAGGGTATTTTTCCACCCATCATCAGATAGAGTGGGAGAGAGGGGGAGAGAGAGACAGAGAGAAACATTGATGTGATAGAACCACATCGACTGTTTGCTTCCTGCATGACCTGACCAGGGCTGGGGAAGAACTGCAACAGAGATATGTGCCCTTGGCTGGAATCAAACCTGTGACTCATTGGTCCACAAGCTGATGCTCCAACCACTGAGCCAAACCAGCCAGGGCTAATTTAAATTATTGGGTTTTGTTGTTTTTTTTTTTTTAGAGCGAGAGGAAGGGAGAGAGGGAGACAGGGAGAGTGTAAGAACGAGGTGGAACGAGGCAGTGCAGGGTCTCCAGAAGTGCAGGTTTATTGGGAATTAGCCTGCCGGACTACCTCTAAAGAGAGAGCAGGAACCGGCTTGTACAGACTAGGGATTTTTAAATTCAGGGCTGGTGGTCGTTCAGCTGAGGGGACATGGTTGCCTTTGATTGGTCGGGCCTGGGGTCTCTTGAGTTCTTGATTGGTTGGGGGCTGGGGTCTCCTGAAACTTGTTTTTCTGGTCGAGCGACCATTTGCAGTTTTGTGTGGGTTAGGGTGGTTCCATCATTCCAGTTCCGCCTGGCTGGAGTGATGAGTTTTGGTTTTCTGGAATGAGAGGTTTAGGGCAGTAATATGGAAGTTAAGAGCTGAGAGAGAGCGAGAGCGAGAGAACGAGAGCGAGAGCGAGAGTGAGAGAGAGAGAGAGAGAGAGAGAGAGAAGGAAAGGGAGAGTAGGAGAGAGAGAGAGAGAGATCTATTTGTTGTTCCATTTATTTATGCATTCATTAGTTGATTTCTTGTATGTGCCCTGATCAGGGATTGAACCTGCAACCTTGTTGTATCAGGATGATACTCTAAGCAACTGAGATACCCGGCCAGGGCAGGATTAATTTATTTTAAATTTATCTTTATTGATCACATGCTCCTCGGCCAGATGATGGCAGGTGTTGGGGAAGATTTGAGAGTGCTCTTCTGAGCTGGAGTCCGCATGGCTAGAGGCCTGGCCGGCCTTGCAGATTGCTGTGGAGAATGGCTTTGGGTGTGTGCACAGCCAGGAGAAGGCCTAGTGGCTGGGAGGTGCCATGGAGGAGTACTTCTTCCGCAATGCTGACTTGGAGCTAGATGAGGTGGAGGACTTCCTTGGGGAGCTCATGACCAACGAATTTGATACAGTTGTGGAGGATGGGAGTCTGCCCCAGTTGAGCCAGCAGCTGAAGAGCATGTTCCACCACTTCCAGAGGGGTGATGGGGCCACTCTGAAGGAGATGGCCTCCCACATCACCCAAAGAAAGTGCAGGGTTAGAGCCATCGCACTTACCACAGCCAGAGAGACAGATGAGGATGATGTAGACAGCGTGGAGGAGAAGAAGGTTACAGCTACGAATGATGGGGCAGCTACCGATGAAGTCTGCTCCCAGCCTGAACCCTCTGGTGCGGACTCCCAGACTATTAAGGAAGAAGATATAGTGGCGGATGGCTGGTCATTGTCCGAAGAAAGAATTGAGAGGGGCTGGAAACGGGTTCTTGTTTACTAGTTGTTTGGAGATGTTTTTGGAGAATTGTGGACCTTTGGACTGGTTATCCCAACTCCACCCTCTCCCTATTCCCCTGTCTAGCTTCCTCCAGGGGAAGAAGAGCCCCAGGGTCCTTGGGCTGTAAGTTACTATCTGAATGGTGAGGTCTAGTTTCCCAGCAGTGTCTTGGGTGTAGTCAGTGTGAAGAGAGAAGAATAAGTGGTTGTGGGTGTGGTTGGAGAAGCTGAATGCTGGTTGACAGTGGGCAGGTAGATTTATGAAGGGAGAGGACCAGCAGAACCAATACTTATGTTGGGTCAGGAATGGAGAGATGAACATGCAACTGAAAGAGAGATTCATTGACTGTGAACAAAAGTAGCTGTACTACCTCTCCCACTTCTCGTGTACACACACACACACATGCAGCAGTAGCAGCTCTGTACCCCTGTACAGAAATTGGAACCTACCAGGATACTTCCATCCTGCAGCCCAGCCTCCAGCCTTGGGTTCCTTCAGGAGGTCTAAGACCTTGCAAGGTGGTGAACTTGGGGAACCTGGGCTTTGATTTGTTTCCTCCAATCTTTTTCCAAACTTCATCCAGTTCTATCCAAGTCCAGGGATGAGGCTTAAGACCTGAATAAATAATGCCTTAATGTTTAGTCTGTTGCTTGACCTGTTGTAAGTAGCCTTAGAATCATCCTTCTGGGAGCTGAGATTCAGAGCTCGGCAAGGGAGCAGATTCTGGGCCCACCCTAGCACTCTGGTACTTTGGACAAACAGATGGATGAATAGAGCACAGAAGTGCTCTGCAAGTTTCTGTAATCCTGAAATAAACTGTATTTTTTGTTAAAAAAAAAAACAAAAACAAATCAACAACTTATGTTTATTGTTGAAAGTATCACATATAAAAAATAACTGAGCCCTGGCCGGTTTGGTTCAGCGGTTAGAGTGTCGGCCTGCGGTCCTGAGAGACCCAGGTTCGGTTCCCGCTAAGGGCGCGTACCTCGGTTGCAGTTTGTCCCCGGCCCTGGTCGGTTGTGCTGGTGGCAGCCACTCGATGTGTTCCTTTCACATCGATGTTTCTCTCTCTCTCTCTGTTCCTCTCTCTCCCTCCCACTCTACCTGAACAAAAAATGGAAAAATGTCCTCGGGTGAGGATAAAATAAATAAATAAATAAAATAACTGAGCCTGGCCTGTGTGGCTCAGTGGTTGAACATCCACCCATGCAAGTTCGATTCCCAGTGAGGGCACATGCCCATGTTGTGGGCCTGAAATCCAGTGGGGGTCATGCAGGAGGCAGCCAATCGATATTCTCTCTCATCAATGTTTCTATCTCTCTCTCCCTCTCCCTTCCTCTCTCTCTAAAAATCAATTTTAAAAAAAAAACAAAAAATTTTTAAATAAAAATAATAACAAAGTTTGTACCCCTTGACTACTTTCATCCATCTCCTGCCCCCCCACCCCACCTCTGGAAATCACAATCTATTCCTCCACCAGAGTGGTACATTTGTTAAAATAGATGAACCTATATTGACAAATCATTATCACCCAACACCCATACTTTACACTAGGGTTCATGTTAGTGCTATACATTCTATAGGTTTTGACAAATATACGATGACATGCACGCACCATTACAGTATCATACAGAATAGTTTTACTGCTCTAAAACTCTGTGTTCTGCCCATTCATGCCTCCTTCTGCTGATCCCCTGGCAACCACTGATCTTTTTACTGTCTCCATAGTTTTGCCTTTTCTGAAATGTCATATCATAGGAATCACACAGTATATATAGCCTTTTCAGATTGGCTTCTTTCACTATGTAATACTCATTTCAGGTTCCTCTATATCTTTCATGGCTTGATAGCTCATTTCTCTTTAGTGCTGAGTAATATTCCATTGCTTGATGTATTATGGTTTACTTATTAATTTACCTACTGAAATATATCTTGGTTGCTGCCAGGTTAAGGCAATTACAAATCAAATTGCTGCAACCATGTGTGGGTAAATAACAAAGAGTTCAACTGCTAGATTGTATGGTAAGAGCATGCTTAGTTTTGCAGCCTTAAAGGGCTGCATAAATGGATAGTTTGAATCTCCTTTGGTCAAAGATGTTGCCTCGATTTTAAATTAATGGAATAAGTTTAATAGTTGGTTGTATAAATGATCTTACCATATTACACTTAAAAAACATTTTAGAAAGTTTGAAAACAAAACAAATAGTCTTTACTCTTATTTATCTCAGAAAAATCTGTAAAGAATAAATGTACAAATATCTGTAAATGCTTATTACATGCCTAAAACATAGATGCCTAAAACACTTAATAAATGTATATTGTTGTTGTAATTATTCTTATTTAAAGGTGGTGGTTTTTCTTTTTTGCATTTTGGTGAATATATTTAATTTAAGTTTTGTTACTACTTTTATCCTATTTAACAAAGGTGTTCTATTACCAAATTTACCAAGGAGTACCTATAGCATTTTTTGTTGTTGCTTGCTTGTTAATCTTCATCTGAGGATATTTTTCCATTGATTTTTTAGATAGAGTGGAAGGGGGGGGGGGGGTACAGTGAAAGGGAGAGAGGGAGGGAGGGAGAGAAGAGAGAGAAACATCGATGTGAGAGAGACACATGGATTGTTTGCCTCCTGCATGACCCCAACTGGGGCCAGAGATTGAACCTGCAATCCAAGTACGTGCCCTTGAGCAGAAATCAAACCTGTGACTCTCTTTGGTCTGTGGGCCAATGCTCTAACTGCTGAGCCAAACTGGCCAGGGCCCATATCACTTTCTAAAGGGAAAAAAGGGTCTAATGGTATCTGAAAATGTTTGCATTGTTTAGAAATTCTACATCACAATCCTAATGCTTTATTAAAACCTATACAAACTTGAAAAAAAAAAAAAAACCTATACAAACTTGTAAGTGGAAAAGCAGAAATTTTGGCATCAGTCCAGTGGAGAAGCCAACTACACAATCACCACTATGCCACTTGGGAGTGACAAAGCTACAGTTGTAACCCTGCCAGTACTCCTCACACATACACATACCACTCAAAGATAGGAAAAAGAAAGGAAAAACTAAAGCAAGCCTGCTTATTTAATCTAAATTTTCAATTTATTAAAAATTGAAGCCAGTATCTTCTTGGGAACTGTGATTTACACTGTGTATAAAATTTAAAAACCTAGTGTATCACTGGCTTTATCCCCACTTGCTCTTCCAAGACCCTTGACTTCCAGCAAAATTCACACTCATATCTATGGATGTCCTAAATTATACATCACAGTCTCACTAAAAGTAGATCTCTGTTGGGTGCTTTCTATTAGATGATTCTGCTCCTATCAAGCACAAATGCCACCTAAGTTGGGTATCACTCTATCCAACATGTATCATCTCCCTAGGTTTACTGCCATCTTCTTCAGCTGGGCATCATTCCTGATGCCCAAAGGCCTCACTCTCTTCCACCTCTCACACTACAATTGGCTCCTAAAAAGCTAAACCATGTTATAAAAAATGTAAAATCATGAAGATTGTGCCACCACAAGAGTATAATTTCTCATTTTGGTCAGACCCCAACACCTCTCATTTTCCTTTAGGTAAACATTAGTACCTCTCTATGGTAAATTGCAAAAATTGACACACATTCTTTCCCTTCCCAAAAAATGTGGAACCTATTTCTTCACCTCTTGAATGTGGGCTGGCCATGTGGTTTATTTTGCCCGATTTGACATTGTAGCATACATTAATAAATAATCAGAAAGTTTAGAAAGCACTTGGCACACTGGGGCTTGGAATGACCTTGTAACCTCATAGCCATGTTAACAAGACATGGCTAGCTTACTAGAGGATGAGAAACAGATGGCCCAGTCACCCCCATCACTCCAGTTGTTAGCTAGTCTACCACCAGACTTGTGTGTGAATCCATCCAGGACCAGCTGGCCCCCTGCCTACCAATTAATCACATATCAGAATCAGCTTAGTTTGACCCAGACCAGAAGGATTACCCAGCACACTCATGAAAAAAATAAATGATTATTGTTTTAAGCCACTGTTTGGGGGTAGTTTATTATGCAGCAGTAAATAAATGATACACACTCTGATTCTCTGCAGTAATTACTTTATTGCAAACCTTTGCACCATTCAATGATCACCCCACTACCATTCTTAGCACCTGACTTTACCTCCTTTTTCAATAAGAAAAACATACTTAACTCCTCAAGCTGCCCTAATATCACACTACAGCATGGGGTTTTATAAGTAGGACCACCCATCTTTCTGTCTCCCCAACATTTTGATAATACCCAAAATACCTGTTTCTTGGGTTCTCTTCTATTAATTTTAAGATTAGACTCTTTGTTTATTTAAAAATTCCACCAGTCACTGCTTTTGTTTATTTGTTTTTAATTTTCATACATAAATGATAATAGTACCAACGATGTTCTTGTGATTTCATTTTTTAAAAAACATATAGGTATGTGTCAGTTTTCTAGGGCTCTCATAGCAAATTACCACTGGGTGGCTTAAAACAACAGAAATTTAGCCTGGTCAGCGCTTGAGCATCAACCTACACACAAAGAGGTCACCGGTTTGATTCCTGGTCAGGGCACATGTTCAGATTGTGAGCCAAATCCCCAGTGGGGGTCATGTAGGAGGCAGCCAATGTTCTCTGTCATTGATGTTTCCATCTCTCTCTCCCTCTCCCTTCCTCTCTCTCTAAACTCAATAAAGAAAAAAAATTAAAAAACAACCCAAGTGCCCAGCAATAGATGAGTGGATGAAAAAGCTGTGATACATATACACAATGGAATACTAAGCAGTTGTAAGAAAGAAAGATCTCTTGCCCAGCCAGTGTGGCTTAGTGGTTGAGCATCGACCTGTGTACCAAGAGGTTGTCGGTTTGATTCCTGGTCAGGGCATATGCCCAGGTTGTGGGCCCAATCCCCAGTGGGGGCATGAAGGAGGTGGCTAATCAATGTCATCTCTCATTGATGTTTCTATCTCTCTTCCTCTCTTTCTAAAATCAATAAAGATCTCTTATCCTTTGAGATGGATGACATGGAGGGACCTGAAGAGTATTATCCTAAGTGAAACAAGCCAAGCAGAGAAAGACAAATATCTCATGATCTCACTTATTTGTGGAATATAATGAACAAAACAGATGAACAAAATAGACTCAGAGACATAGAAGTAGGGTACAGACTGACAAACCTCAGAAGAGGTAGGGAAGAGATAAACCACAGAACTTATATGCATGTATGCGTAACCAATGAACATAGACAACAAAGCTGGGGATGGGGTGGGGGGTGGGGATGGGGAGGAGGGTGTCAATGGGGTAAAAAGGAGAAACACCTGTAACAAAAATAAATTAATAAAAATAAAAATAAATAAAAATATCAATAAAATAGCCATACAAATAATAAAAATAAATAAATAAATAAAACAAATTTATTCTCTTACAGTTGTGGAGGCCAGAAGCCTGAAATTAAGGCTCTGAGGGAATCCGTTCCATGCCTCTCTCCTAAATTCTGGTGGCTGCAATCCTTGGTGTTCCTTGGCTTGTAGACACACCACTCCAGTCTGTGCCTTCATCTTCACATGACCTCCTCCCCATGTGTCTCTGTCTTCTCCCTTTCTGTCACTTTAAAGATACCTGTCATTAGATTGAGCATTCACCCTAATCCAGGATGATCTCATCCTGAGATCCTTTTTTTAATTACAAATGCAAATACCTTTTTTCCAAGTAAAGACACATTCACAGATTCTAGGAGTTAGGGCACAGGCATATCTTTCTGGGGGACACAATTTAACCCACTACATAGCATATTTAAACCTTTTAGAAAAATATGGATGTCAATTTAAATATTATTACCAGGGCAATAAATTAAGTAAGACAATCATTCAGAATTACAGACCTTTTAGATGTTAAAGTTTATTTTCACAGGCTGCAGCAACAATCTCTAAAATCAGGGTGTCCCTTAATTAGAATGAACAGTTATGAGGAAAGTCTTATAATATAAACTAGTATCTGCTTTTCTTAGTTTCTAGAAGACAAACATTTCTCCTTATCTTGCTGACATTTTTTCCACCACAATTATGAGGGTCTGTGGTTTTTCAAGGCCACGTCCTAGAAAGCCATTAGTTAGCAGCAACAGGAAAAAATAAGCCTGAGAGCTCAAAATTTTCCATTTGGAGAAAGAAAAAGGAGGAAAATGGGCTACTTAATAAATGCAATATGGAATATGTCATGTTGTACATCTATGCTTCCTAAACATAGATTCTAAGTGTCTATAAAGATTTGCATTTTGAACCATTGCAAAATTTTTCCAGCGGTATCAAAAACCTGACATTAGCAAAGTAAAGTATAGATGTGTGGACAATGACTGAAGAAAGCTGTGGGGGTGCCAGGGGCCAGGTAAAGTTGAGTATCTCTGCCCTTCTCTCTATTGTGGACCACTGGAACCACCATCTGCTCCCTGACTCCTACACCTCTGAGCAGGGAATCTCAGGTTCAGGGACAGGAGTAAGCTTGCTATCCTGTCTGTGTGGTATGGCTACAACAATGGGCATGGTACCGGAGAGATAATTCCAGTAAAATGTCCAAGTCCCTCCCTCACTAGAGTTCATGTAAATGTGGCAGGAATACTGCTCTGTGGGTAAGATTTGGGATTTGGATTATTAGAGGTTCACTGGGATAAGGTATATATTCTGAGAGAGGCAGGAGTAGAGTTGCCGATAGGGCCATCTGAGAGCTGAAAATAAAGGTAGAGAGACCCAAAATTGCTTCCTGGCCCAAAGAGTAACAGAAAATGAAGCCAAGAAACAAGAGCCAGAAAGAAATTAGGTCAGAATAGAAATAAGCCAGAACAAGCAAAAGAGATGTTGGGGGATTTGTAATACCCATAAACAACACTAACGTTGCCTGAGCTTATCTTACTGGTTTACTGATGGAATGCAGAAGTATTGGGATTGCTTCAAGGTTACAACTCCCTTCGTGTTTCCCCACTTAGAATCTATATTTGTACTTATACTTTTTATTTTCCTTCCAATTAAGGAAAATGGAATGTCCTTTATTCAAGTCCAGCATATTCACCTGTGTTCTTAACCCTATGGCCATCATCCCAATCAATATTCAGCAAAGATTTATTAAGTAGCTACTATGCCCCTTCTTCTCCTGGTTTTTCCTCCTTCAAAAATCCCCCTACTCTCTTGTATCTCTTTCTTTTTTTTTTATTTCTTTTTTATTAATTTTTGTTACAGATGATTCTCCTTTTTTCCCCCACTGATTCCCCCCTCCCCCACCCCTCCCTGCCCCTTCCCCAGATTGTTGTCCATGTCCACTGTTCATGCATACATGCGTATAAGTTCTGTGGTTCATCCCTCCCCCACCTCCCCACTCCTTAGGGGATTGTCAGTCTGTACCCCGCTTCCGCGTCTCTGGGACTACCCCATTCCTCAAACTGTTATGTTCATTATATTCCACAAATAAGTGAGATCATATGAAATTTGTCTTTCTCTGTTTGGCTTGTTTCACTTAGGATGATACTTTCAAGGTCCCTCCATGTAGTCTCAAAGGATAAGAGATCTTTTTTTCTTACCGCTGCGTAGTACTCCATTGTGTATATGTACCACAGCTTTTTGATTCATTCGTCTACTGATGGGCACTTGGGCTGTTTCCAGATCTTAGCTATTATAAATAGTGCTGCTACAAACATGGGGGTACATATATTCTTTCTGATTGGTGTTTTATGCTTCTTCGGGTATATTCCTAGAAGTGGGATCACTGGGTCAAATGGAAGATCAATTTTTAATTTTTTGAGGAAACACCATATTGTTTTCCATAGTGGCTGCAACAGTCTGCATTCCCACCAGCAGTGTACTAGAGTCCCCTTTTCTCCACACCCTCGCCAACACTTGTTGTTTGATGATTTGTTGATGGCGGCCATTCTGACAGGTGTGCGGTGATACCTCATTGTTGTTTTGATTTGCATCTCTCTGATGATTAGTGATGATGAGCATTTCTTCATATGTTTCTTAGCCATTTGTATGTCCTGTTTGGAGAGGTGTCTATTTAGTTCCTCTGCCCATTTTTTAATTGGATTCTTTGTCTTCCTTTTGTGGAGTTCTATGAGCACTCTATATGTATTGGAAATTAACCCTTTATCTGATATATCATTGGCAATTATGCTCTCCCATTGTATCTCTTTCTTGATTAGATCCTTTCTCTATAAAGGCTATAAACATGCTCAAGATTTGTTCATAAAAGCAAAGCAGAAACAACCACCCTCTATTACTTCTGTGTCCCCTTTTAACCACTACTAAAATCATGGGATTGGTCAAAGGTTGGAGTTCACTGCTTGCATTTAGCTTTAAAAGAGAGGTGAAAATAAATTAGGGATGCTAGAAAGACAATGGTTCAGATTGCCAATCATAGAACCCAGTCTGGTAAGGGAAAGAAAATTACACCACAAGAAAAGAATCTGATAAGTAGGGAAAATATGGATATATTCAGAAATCTAAGAGCTGGGTGAAGTCAAAGAGGCAGTAGTAGGAGAAACGGTCACGAGAACTGAATAGATTAAAGCAAAGGTTGCGATCAAAGAATTAGATATTAAAGCTTAACATTTCTGATGAGGAACAATTCTTGTTGAATAATCACGAATTTGGTCATGGATAGCCAAAGTAAATTGAGTGTTTCTAGAACTAAAGAGGCTAAGAAAGAATAGAACATTAGATGAATAATCCACATGGACATGAATATCAACCCAAGATAAGAGCAACATATGGATTAATCAAAGACTGTAAGCCGCCCTGGCCGGTTTAGCTCAGTGGTTAGAGCATCGGCCCGCAAACCAGCGAGTCCCGGGTTCAGTTGTAGTTTGTTTCTGGTGCCAGTTGGGTCATGTGGGTGGCAACTACTCGATGTGTCTCTCTCACATCGGTGTTTCTCTCTCTCTCTTCTTCTCTCTCCCTCCCACTCTATCTGAAGATAAATGCAAAAATGTCCTCAAGTGAGAATAAAAAAAAAAAAAAAAAAAGACTGTAAGCCAACTCTTCAAGTCATCTATGAATAAAGGAAAATACCCAAGGTAGAAGGTAAGTACAGTCGGCCCTCATTTATCGCAGTTAATCAGTTCCAGACACTACTGCAATAAATGAATTTCCGTGAAGTAAGATCTTTGTTTATACACAGTTGTCCCTCGCCACTTGGCGCTTCCATTTTCCGGGTTTTTTGAAACAAACGTGATAGAGTGAAGCCACGAAAGTCACGCCAAGTGGCGAGGGTCGACTGTAATTGACAGGCATAAGAACGGAGAGAAGAGTCTTCAGCTGGATGATACAAACTTCAAATAAAGTGGAGGTTTCACACAGAAAGTAAGAGTAATTGCCAATGCCTTTGTGGAATTAGTATGACCAGTCTAGTTCTCAGTCCTAATGTGGTGGGGCATAGAAAAATAATTACCTGCCACTGAAAGGGCAGCAAGTGGTTATGGTATCCTTGAGGGAGAGCAATTAGAGGAGGAGATGACTTGAAGTAGGGAGACCAGTTGGAAGACTTGCTTTATCTGGGTGAGAAAGAATGATGGCCCTAGCAGTGAAAATACGAAAAAGGAAATATGTCCTAAAGATACAAAAGAGATAGGTTGCTTTGGTAACTGATTAAGTGTAAAGACTTAGTAGGAAGAATAAAGGATGACTTTCAAGATTTAGTTTTGGGCAAATGGGTGTATGAATGTGCACTTTACTAAAACTGGAAGAGAAGCAGGTCTAGAAGCAAAGAAAATGCTGTATTCCCAGACACTAAACAGTTCCTGAAACAAAGAAGGCTCTCCAAAAATATTTACTAAAGTAATAAATGAAAAAGAACAAAGTTTGACATATAAGCTTGACAAGATAAATTCATAAACCATTATAACAAACAGCACAAAAGTCATTGCTGTTTTGATTAAATTTATCCTCAAGATATTAACTGAATTAAAATAGAAAAACCAGTCAAGCAAAAAATAACAACTCCATCTCACACCCATTAAGATGGCTATTTAGCCCTGGCCAGTTTGGCTCAGCAGTTAGAGCAATGGCCTGAGAACTGAAGAGTCGCTGGCTCGATTCCAGGTCAAGGGGCACGTACCTGGGTTGCAGATGCGATCCCAGCCCCAGCCCGGGTCATGCTTGGAGGCAATCAATCAATGTGTCTCTCTCACACTGAGGTTTCTCTCTCTGTCTCCTTCTCCTTCTCTCCCTTCCCTTCTAACTAAAAATCAATGAAAAAATATCCTCGAGTGAGGATTAACAACAACAAAAGAAAAGATGGCTATTAAAAAAAAAAAAGAACTTTTTGCTCAGCAGTTAAAGCATTGGCTTGCGGTCCGGAGAGACCAGGGTTCGGTTCCCGCAAAGGGCGCGTACCTCAGTTGCAGTTTGTCCCTGGCCCTGGTTGGTCATGCGGGTGGCAGCCACTTGATGTGTCCCTTTCACGTTGATGTTTCTCTCTCTCTCTCTCTCTCTCTCTCTCTCTCTCTCTCTCTCTCTCCCTCTCTCTCCCTCCCACTCTATCTGAACAAAAAAGTGGAGAAGTGTCCTTGGGTGAGGATAAAAAAATATAAATAAAAAATAAATAAAAATAAAGAATTTAGCAAGTGTAGAGAAAAACAGAAACTATCAAAGATGTGGAGAAATTGGAACCCTTATTCACTTTTGGTGAAAATGTAAAACAGTGCATCCATTTTACATTTTAAATTCTGTTTTAAAATAGAATTACCATATGACCCAGCAATTCCACTTCTGGATATACACCCCAAAGAATTAAAAGCAGGGACTCACCCTGGCCGGTTTGGCTCAGTGGTTAGAGTGTCGGCTTGTGGTCCAGAGAGACCCGGGTTCAGTTCCCGCTAAGGGCATGTACCTCGGTTGCAGTTTGTCCCCGGCCCTGCTTGGGGTTATGCGGGAGGCAACCAATCGATGTGTTTCTCTCATATCGATGATTCTCTCCCCCCACCCCTTTCTCCCCTTTCTTTCTACTCTATCTAAAAATCAATGGGAAAATATCTTCAGGTGAGGATAACAACAACAAAAAATGGTTAAGGTGGTGTATTTTACCACAATTTTTAAAAATCTAAATTAAAAAAAAAAAAAGGAATAACAATCCACATCAATCAAAACCAGTAGGGAGAGGGCTGTCCCTCCCAGGAGCATGCCTTCCTTCCCTCTTAGGGGTACATCTCCTAAATGCTAAGGGGCCCCCAAGACCTGCAACCAGGAAAGCAATGGGCAGCAGCAGCTCATCTGGGGTTAACCTTCTGAACCTATCTCCAAGGTCCCCTTTTTTCTTACTTCTCAGTGAGCCAAAACAGCCCTGCCTAGGCTCATTTCTTTCCTATAGCATTTCTAGAGAGATAAAGCCACCTGGCCCTAGGCTCTCTCCTATTGCTTCTTCTATCCTAAGCCCTTTATTGTTGCAAGGTCCCCACCTGTGTTAACTCTCCCCTTAAATTAAAAAAATAAAAAATAAACAATAAGGAAAGAAACTCCACCCATCCAGCAAAATTCAACTTGCCCACTAAACTGTGAGAACAGGAAACCAAGGGCGTGGCAAGGGCAGGCCTCTGGCTCTATACAGGGCGGGACTTCAGGGAAGCCACTGTTGAAAGTAGGTCATCTGCGAACTTGGCAGCCACTGCGCAGGCGCATATGGCGGCTGCCCAGACGCCTTTTAAACGTAGCCGGAAGTGACGTCTGTGACACTGAGACCCGTTCAGGGAAGGTCTGAGCGACTGGCCTAGGTGAGCATCGCTGGGACTGTGGTCCTACGGTCGCAATGAGCTGCACCATCGAGAAGATCCTGACTGACGCTAAGACGCTGCTGGAGAGGCTGCGGGAGCACGATGCGGCCGCGGAGTCACTAGTGGATCAGTCGGCGGCACTGCACCGGCGGGTGGCCGCTATGCGGGAGGCGGGGACAGCGCTTCCCGACCAGGTCAGGCAGAGGGTAGGGGTCCGTGCCCTCACGTTCTAGGCACTTTACGGGTGGAGGGCGAGGTCAAATGGGACCTCGGCCTGGAATGTATTCCGGGTCTCGGGGCGGCGGTGAGACCTTTCTGCAGGATCGGGGCTGAGGACGCTGCCCTGGAGCCCTGACTCCTGCCTCTTCATTTGCACCTGCGGCTGTTCTGTTTGCTGCGCGCTTAGTCTGTCTCTGTTTGTCCAGTATCAAGAGGATGCATCCGATATAAAGGACATGTCAAAATACAAACCTCACATTCTGCTGTCCCAAGAGAATACACAGATTAGAGACTTGCAGCAGGAAAACAGAGGTTAGTCAGGCCTTTTGTGTAATTACTATGATTTTCTCATTCCCAGTAATATTGCAAAAGTTCTTTCAAAGCTGCCCAGCTGTTTACTAAAGTGCGCATGCTATATGTATTTCCAGGTCAGTACTTTTGGTAACAGTTACCCTGTGCTGGCCCAATAAAATAAAGTTTGTTACGTTACCCTTTTCAAGGTTGTCTGACTGATTTTGTATTTATAGGCAGCTTATCAAAGAGGTGCTTAGTAGAATTGAATTAGAGTTAATATCCTCATGGGATTAAAATGTAACGTTTACATAGTCAAATATACTAAAGTTAAGATTGAAGAGTTTTTTATGTTCTTGTGCAAAGTGGAAGAGCTGAATTTTATACTCAGGATATATAGTCTCACGTTTGGTAAGTACATTATTAATGATAGCAGTATGAATAGTTATTTATATATCAGTTTACAGAGGGCTTCCACATATGTCATTCCACTGTATTCTTATATTTTCATAGTGAGGTATATGAGCCAGATAAGAAATAGGCTCAGAGGGGTTGAATGATATGCTTAAGAGTATTAAGCTAGTAACTCACAGAACTGAACTCAAACCCATGCCTTCTGATTCCAAATCCCATGTTTCTACCAAACTATGCTGCCTCTGCCTGAAAGTTATGTTTCACATTAACCTTAACTGTTGTGTGTTGTGGATTTAAACACTGATTTACAAATTTGGAATCGCAACATCTCATGGAGTGTCATAAAACTCCAACTGTTAAAGAGTTTGGCTTTGAGAGCGATCTCTCAGACATCACTGCCAAGTTATTTTATTTTTTTGATAGAGCTGTGGGTTTCCTTGGAGGAACACCAGGATGCTTTGGAACTCATCATGAGCAAATACCGGAAACAGATGTTACAATTAATGGTTGCTAAAAAAGCAGTGGATACTGAACCAGTCCTGAAAGCTCACCAAAATCACTCTGCAGTAAGAAACTTTGATGAATAAATTCTAAATGAACTGAATTGAAATCTTGAAATTGTTTTAGCTTGTGTGCCTGTTTGGGAAGAAAAGTAAGCTTGTTTTCCTTTCATGTTTATCACATTCACTGTTGGTTTTGCTGTAGTTTTTATAAGGTAAGGGGCTGCTCAGGTCCTTTCATTTGAATAGGACTAAGGTTCCTTCTTCCCTTACCAAGATGTTAATAAATGCTTAGTTCTTCCACCAAACATAATGCCAGTTTGTGTTAAAGGTGCTCAGTAAGTACTTGATTGGTTATTGTACATTTTACTAAATTGTAAGCTCCTTGGTTGTAAGGAGCAGAAATTCATCTTTTTTTTTTTTTTTAAATCCTCACCCAAGGATATTTTTCCTATTTATCTTCAGATAGAGTGGAAGGGAGTTAGGGGGGAGAGAGAGAAACATCGATGAGAGGGACACATCGACTGGTTGCCTCCTGCATGACCCCTACCAGGGCTGGGATGAATCTGCAACCCAGGCGCATGCCCTTGACTGGAATCGAACCCATGACTCTTTGGTCCGTGTGCCGATCCTCTAACTGCTGAGCCAAACCAGCCAGGGCCAGTCAGGAAACTTTTATTAAACCAAACCACATAGCATCATTAAGAGAGAGAAGTGTGGTTTAAAAATATACAGCCTGGCCGGTATGAGTCAATGGATTGAATGTCATCCCATGGACTAAGAGGTGCCAATTCGATTCCCAGTCAGGGTACAGGCCTGGGTTGCAGGTTTAATCCACAGTAGGGGATGTACGGGAGGCAGCCAATCAATGTTTCTCTCTCACATCAATGTTTCTATCTCTCTCTCTCCAGTCCTCTCTCTCTAGAAAAAAAAATCAATAAAAACATTTAAAAAATGAAATAAAAAATACATGTACATGGCATGATTTCTGTACTTTGGTTGATTACGATTTAACTTGGGAGACCCGGTGATTGTTCTTATGTCTGTAGAGTGCTTTATAGTTTCATTGTATATTCACATGTATTGTATCATTTAATCCTGGATTAATAGATTGCTGCCTCACTATTTGCTACACTGGGGTTTATGAAAAGTTCATCCTAGATTCCATTGAAAGCATTTTACTGACTTAACAAAAGTCTTAGGGAACAGGGATGTTTTAATATGTGAATGGTTTTCATATAGAAGAGAAAAATAAACTTTATTTTCTTTAGTCAGGAGGAGAAAATTTGAACCTTGAAGGAAACAGATTTTAGCTCATATGAAAAACTTGTTAGAAGATAGGTCCAGCCCTGGCTGGTGTGGCTTAGTTGGCTGGGCAATGTCCTGTGCACAAAAAGGTTGCAGATTTGATTCCTGGTCAGGGCACATGCCTTGGTTTCAGGCTTGATCCCCAGTGGGGGCCGTACAGGATGCAGCCAATTGATATTTAGCTCTCACATCAATGTTTCTCTCTCTCTCAAAATAAACATATATATATATTTAAGGAAAGAAATAAGATAAGTCCAAAGATGGAATAAGATACCTTGGAATGTGGTGAGCTTCTTGCCAATGAAAGTATTCAAGTTTAAGTTAAGCCACTTAGAGATGTTGTCCAACATCCAGTGGGTGGTTAGACTAGAATCGATGTTTTGCAAACAGATTATTGGTGAATACCACAAGATGACTTTCTATGGCTTTACCCCTGAGGACTCAGATTATAGTGAAATGCCTCTTTAACCTCTGTAAATAGATTAAATGAACTTTTTAACATCATAATGCACATGTTCTTATGAACTTCATATCTGCAGAAAAAGATGACTTTTTTACCTTTTTTGTGTTAATATCTTCACAGGAAATTGAGAGTCAGATTGACAGAATCTGTGAAATGGGAGAAGTGATGAGGAAAGCAGTTCAGGTGGATGATGACCAATTTTGTAAGATTCAGGAAAAACTAGCCCAATTAGAGGTAAGATTGTTGCTCTTTTAGGTTCACAATAGTTCAGGAAGTTTTAGCATCTGGAAGGTATGCCACTGCTATCCTATCACTGCAATGTATTAGTGTTTTCTGTGTGCTAATGATTTAAAATTAAAATTCCTCCATACTCTTTTCAAAAAAGGAAATGTAAACAGCAGCAAACAGTGAAAATGCCAATTATGCACTGGTTAGAAACTGAGATGTTCTCATATCCAGAGGGCAGAGTGTGGAAAGGACAGATTACATGTGAATTAAAATCCCTCATCTACCATAAAAGGAAGTCAAATCGATAATGTCTAAAGTTGATGATAAGGAAATAGCAGTACAGGCATATTATTTAAAATTATAGAAATAAATACTAAAGAAATAGATAAAATTATTAAAAGTGGTTGCCTTTGGGGAATAAAGCCAAAAGATTACTGTTTATAAGACTTGTAGTCTTGGTTTTTTTAAAGCTATTTTTATATTATTTATATATATATATATTTTATCCTCACCCGAGGACATTTTTTGATATTTTGTTCAGATAGAGTGGGAGAAAGAGAGAGAAAAACATCGACATGAAAGGGACACATCAAGTGGTTGCCACCTACACAGCCCAACCAGGGCCGGGGACAAACCACAACCGAGGTAGATACGTGCCCTTAGCGGGAACCGAACCCGGGTCTCTCTAGACCGCAGGCCAACACTCTAACCGCTGAGCCAAACCGGCCAGGGCGATTTTTATATAACATTTTGATTAAAATGAAAATAATTTACAAAGAAAGGCCTGGGGTGTTAGTGCGTCCATAAAACTGTTAAAGAAAACATAATAGGTGGTTTGAATGCTGCTTATTACATGCTATCATGGGCCCTTTGATAAATAACATTGTAAAGGAAGCTGGGGTCCCTGCTCAGAATCTAGTAAAAAGAATAAGACTAGCCCTGGCCGGTTTGGCTCAGCGGTTAGAGCGTTGGCCTGCGGTCCATAGAGACCCGGGTTCGGTTCCCGCTAAGGGCACGTACTTCGGTTGCAGTTTGTCCCCGGCCCTGGTTGGTCATGCGGGTGGCAGCCACTCGATGTGTCCCTTTCACGTCGATGTTTCTCTCTCTCTCTCTCTCTCTCTCCCTCCCTCCCTCCCTCCCTCCCTCCCTCCCACTCTATCTGTACAAAAATTGGAAAAATGTCCTCGGGTGAGGATAAAAAAAAAAAAAAAAGAATAAGACTAGTACAGCACATCCTCTAATAACTTCATTTCATTCAACTTTATTTCATTACAATGTTCATGAGATGCCATAGGAACTTAACTCTTATTTGTAACATTTAGTCTATGGTAAAATTGGTTTCTTTACACATTGTTTTGCTTAAAGTCACAGTACCTATTGATGACGTTAAATGAGGATTTGCTGTTTTTATAAGATATGAAATGGTATATTAATTCTAGGAGAGATATACAAAGTACTGGGGGAACCACTTTATATGGTAGAAGGTTTAATGACCGTAGGCTCTGACTTTTGCCTGCAAACACCTACAGTTTACCAGAATTTCCTGCAGAGAGAATAAGGATGAAGAGTGTTAACTGCTCCATCTGAAAATCAAGGGAGTGACAAGGTCTCAAGTAGGAATTAGGAGTTAGTTCAAATGATAGAACAACCTTGTCTACATTCTCCTCAGTTATGGAAACAGCTCTATGGAGACGTGAGACAAATCTTAACCAATATTTAAAGTGGAAAAAACATGGGCATCAAATGGAGACCTCAGCAATACCACATCCAAGATGTCTGAGTTTGGACAAGTTTTTGGACTTTGTGAGCTACAGTGTCCTCATTTTTTTTTTTAATCCTCACCTGAGGATATTTTTTTCATTTATTTTCAGACAGAGTGGGAGAGAGGGAGCTAGAGTTAAGGGGACGGGGGGAGAGAGACATCGATGTGAAAGAGACACATCAACTGGCTGCCTTCTGCATGACCCGACCAGGGCCAGGGACCAAACTGCCACCAAGGTATGTGCCCTTCATCAGAATCAAACCCACAACTCTGGTCTACGGACCGACGCTCTAACTGCTGAGCCAAACTGGTCAGGGCACAGTGTCTTCATTTTATTTTTTTATTTTACTTTATTTTATTTTAAAATTTTCTTTATTGATTTTTAGAGAGAGAGGAAGGAAGAGGGAGAGAGAGATTGAAACATCAGTGAGAGAAAACATAGATTGGCCGCCTCCTGCATACCCCCCGCTGGGGATTGGACCCACAACCTGGGCATGTTCCCGGACCAGGAATCGAACCAGCGACCTCTTGGTACATGGCTTGACACTCAACCACTGAGCCACACTGGTCAGGCTGGTGTCCTCATTTTATTTTATTTATTTTTTATCCTCACCTGAGGACATTTTTTGCATTTATCTTCAGATAGAGTGGGAGGGAGAGAGAGAGGAAGAGAGAAACATCAATATGAGAGAGACACATCGACTAGTTGCCACCCACACAACCTCAACCAGGACCGGGGACAAACTGCAACCAAGGTACGTGCCCTTAGCAGGAACCGAACCCCAGACTCTGGTCTGTGGGCTGACACTCTAACTGCTGAGCAAAACTGGCCAGGGCTGGTGTCCTCATTTTAAAGAGAAAATGAATGTAGGCAGTGGTACCTACCCTACAGATGGTTGGGAGATAACATATGTTACATACCCACGTGGTACCTGGTTATGTGGCCAATAAGTAGTTTCTTCCCCCCCCTTTCCTTCCTTTCTCCAAAACTATAGGACATTTAGGAGAGAAGATTGAGTGAAAATATTAATAGGAATTTGAAAGATAGAAAAAATAGTAGCAAAACTTGTGGGAACTATGAAGAGTATTACAAGCAGTGAATTCCTCCAGTGGAGAAGAATCTTTTTTTTAAAAAATAAGTAGCATATAAAAATTGCTCAGTAAAATGTCTGTTCAATGAAAAAATAAGTTGTATTTTAGGAAATTCTCAGTTCTTTTGTTTTCTTAAAACTTGAAAAATTAAAATAATATGCTTTCTGTTCCTGACCCAAAACAATGTATTCTGATGCAGTTAGACAGTCAGAATACCTAAATAAACATATACTTTTGTTTTTCCAGCTTGAAAATAAGGAACTTCGGGAGTTATTGTCCATCAGCAGTGAATCACTTCAGATCAGAAAAGAAAACTCAATGGACACTGCTTCTCAAGCCATCAAATAACTTCAGCTTCTGAATGACTGCTGGAGATTGTTTATCAAGGAAGGAAGTTTCTTTCTTTCTATTTGAATATTGTCCTTTCAGTGTCTTGCCTCAGACTTGATATAATGTCGATTAAAGGAATCAGATAGCAGTGTAGAATTGGCAGTCAAAATTGGCTGTTCACAAAACAGTTTTGGAGTGTATTAATGAAAATACACACTGAATTTCACCATTCCTTTCTCTAAGAGACAGCTTTTAATTTTCATTTCTGGGACCTCGATTTATATAAACTATTTTCAGTTCATTTTTGTGTTTTTCACATCTCTGAAACTTTGAGCATTGTATCACAAGGCAGTGATTTTATTTTTATAGGATTGTAAATTGCGATTATGAAAAAATTTAAAAAGAGATTAGCTTTTTAAATCTATTTGGCATAAATCTGGATTATTTTCCATTTGAGAAAAATACAGTTTTGCAGAGCTAGATTGGCAGATTCTCTGATTTGTAATGTCATTCGCCTTCTATGAAGTTTTAAGTCTCTCTGGTGCTAAGAGTTGGTACTTCATGGCCTTGTGCCTTTACTCTTAATTTGAGAGAACTTACTGCTAGTCTCCAGGAAACATACCTGAAAATAAGTGAACTTTTTTCCCATAGTAGTATAGTGTATGTTCAAAGAATGCTGAGAAATTTGTCCTGTGTATGTGGACACACACATGCACACTTAGCTCAAATGCTAAAAGTAGCTTTTATTCCATTAGATTTTAGTAATCAATTTTTCCTACTAGGAAATCTTCAACTTGGGTAGTTCACCAACTGTGAAGAGCATATAACAGGTTTATTCACATCATAATTCTTAGGTACAACATTCTGCTATTTAATTTATATATAACTTCTATTTTATAGTTAAGAACCATCGTTTACTTGGATATCTTTCATTACTAATACCAGTAGTTGGCTTCTTTTTAGATCCATTTTTCACAAGGAAGCAAAGTTTTATCACCTAATGAGAGTTATTAAATTCATAGTGCTGTGTAGACAACAAAACAACGTTGAGATTCAAATGCTGAGTAGTCAACTAGGCTCATTCATCAGCTCATTTCCCCATCTGAGTTTACTCACATTACTTCATGTTATACTATCAATTTAGATCTACCCTAAAATAACTGAAATAGTAGATGTTAACCCTATCAACATTTGCTAATAACATTAAGCATCATAGTGTATGGGAGAGGCACCATATTAAAAAATTTTTTTGTTAGTGTTTTGTGTGATGTAAAATTTTTGTATTGCCATAAGAAATTAATTCCCATTAAAACAACAAAATCTCTCTAAGATATCCTAAAAGCATCTGATTCCAGTAATACTAATGGATTTTGCTTACAGTGGTAGATTTTATTTTATTATTTTATTTTTGCATTTATCTTCAGATAGAGTGGGAGGGAGAGAGGGAGGAAAAGAGAGAGAAACATCGATGTGAGAGAGACACATTGGCTGGTTGCCACCCACACAACCCCAAACAGGGCTGGGGACAAACTGCAACCAAGGTACATGCCCTTAGCGGCAACCGGACCCAGGTCACTCTGGTCCGCGGGCCAACACTCTAACTGCTGAGCCAAACCGGCCGTGGCTATTTTATTTTCTTTATTGATTTTAGAGAGGAAGGGAGAGGGAAAGAGAGAGAGAAACATCGATTAGAGAGAACATCGATTGGCTGCCTCCTGCATGCCCCCCAATGGGGATCTGGCCCACAACCTGGGCATGTGCCCTGACTGGGAAGCGAACCAGTGACCTCTTGGTGCGTGGGTCGACGCTCATCAACTGAGCCACACCAGCTGGGCTACAGTGGTAGATTTTAATGAGTAGGTATATATGTTCTTTTAGAATTCATCAAATTTCCATTCCAAGTCCCGCATAGAATTTGAAAAATGTTCTACCCCAAGTGTGGGCATTTTTCTCTCACTTCCCAAGAGTCAATAATCTTTCAGCCCAGCCATTTGCCTTGAAGTATATGCCCTAAGTGCCACCATATGTCCTACAATTCCAATTCAGGAGATAGGTACAGTATTTGTCAGCTGCCATAGCCAGTTTTCAGTGAATGTGGGAAAGTAACCAAATGGCCCATTAAAGTATAACATGGTGTACCTTTATCTGTCTTATGTTCTTTTAAGTTGTTTTTCCAGTTCTTTACATCTCAGCTATGAGGATAAATGTATATGTTAGCTTTTTCCCCTGGCAAATTAAAAGCTTGAAGTATGGGTCTAAATAGCTCTCAATACTCTACATGATACAAATTCTAGCTGGTGTTAATGCTCTGAAGATAACGTGTACTTAAAAAACAAAGTGAAAGAATATTTTTCCACTTTGATTTGAATATTAATGTTTCTTTTGCAGTGAATTGAGGGACTTGACTGGTTTGTAAATTCTTAGTATAAATTTAATCTTTTCTAATAAAAACCTCATTTAGATAATGTTATCTAATTTTAATCAGTAATGAGTCTAATTAGGAAATACAAAGATTTATTTTTCACATGTATAGCAAACTGTTAAGTGGGCAGGGTTTTCATAAATATTTTGTAATTAGCACAATGTAGTCAGCAGTATAACTCTACAAATAGTTGTTTTTGAAATGGTTTTAGATATTTCCTCATGATTAGGAGTACTAAATTATATGATTACAAATCAAGTTTATAAAATTGAAACTAAATTTGGAAGTATCTTGAAAAATGCTTAAATATTATTGATATTTACCTTTATTACTTTGACTTATTTTCTTAGGCATAACTTAATTCAGACATTGAAAGTCTAGTTCAATGTTCCTCAAAGTGTAGTTCACTAAGCTACTGAAATTGAAACTTGGAAATGGGATCAAGGAATTTGTATTTGAATAATCATCCCAGATAACTTCTAAGGACACTTAGGATGCTTTACCTTTTGTCACTCTCCAAGAATGTTAAAGAAGAGGCAGAACTTTCAGAGCTTCGATGAAGTCCATTTCACTTTACATTTCATGTAGCCCCCTGAAAATACAGGTGGAATTGATGGAAGTGAATTTCTGCATATTACTAATTCTAGGATTCATTTTTGTTTCGTATTTTAACATCTCTGAATTTGGGGTATGTCTTATGTAGGGTTGTGGTGTGTGGTTAATGCAAAGCATAAGCAAAACTGGTTTGCATTCCTGGTAGTATGACTGGACAAAGCAAGATCTTGATATTTTGGTCAACAACCTATGGACCATTTGAGGAAAAAATACAGTTTAGTGGTTTTCTGTGGATTTTCCATTAACTACTTGTAAGATAAGAGAGTGTCAGCATAAGAACTTTGAAGATAGCTATATGTTTTCTATTGTTGTATAAAAAGCATCACAATTTTAGCAATTTAAAGTAACATCCATTTATTATTTTGCAGTTCTGTAGGTCAGAAGTCCACGCAGGGCTCAATTGGGTTCTTTCCTCAGGATTTCACGAGGCTGAAATCAAGGTGTCAAACAAGACTCTGGACCCTCTCAAACTCATATGGTTGGCAAAATTCCTTTCTCTGCGGGTGTAGAACTTGTAGGCCTTCAAGGCCAACAGGAGATCAACTCTCTGACTTTCCTCATCTCTCATCTCCAGACTCCCTTTTGAGAGCTCACCTAACTAGGTGAGGCCCAACCAGAATAATCTCCCTCTGATTAACCAGTTAGAGATCTTAAATGCATTTGCAGAAATACCTTTTGCCATAAAGGAGGTAAGAGTGATATCCTCTAATAACCACAGGTCCCCATGCTCAAGAAGCATGTACACCAGGTGGTGGGACTCTTAGTGGGCATTTTAGATTTCTGCCTACCACAGTGGCTCTTAGCAACTTGAAATAAGATCCTGAAGACAACAATGACTGCATTACCAGTATTATTGGTGGGCCAAAAATAATTCTGTGTGAAAAGTAACATCACATCCATGAGCCAAAAAGATATCTACCAATATATGCTAAAATTTGTGGACTTAAAGTATAAACAGAATAGTATATTTGCTTAGTCTCTACATTAGTTCCCTAGAGTTGCCATAACAAATTACCACAAACTGGATGGTTTAAAACAACAGAAACATATTCTTTCACAGTTCTGGAGGCTAGAAATCTAACTCAAGGTTAGTTCCTTCTGGAGGCTCTGAGGGAGAATGTGTCCCAGCCCCCTCTTCTAGCTTCTGGCAGTTCTTGGCATTCTTTAACATCTAGATGCATCACTATATTCTCTCAGCCTTCACATGGTGTTCTCTTGGTAGGTCTCTGACTAAATCTCCCTCTTCAAAGGACACTAGTCATTGGATTAGGGCAAACCCTAATGACTTAATTTTAATCTGATTACATCTACACAGACCCTTTTTCTGAATTCTGAGGTCTGGGTAGACATGAATTTTGAGAGGACAGTATTCAATCAAGTATAGTCCCAAAGTATCTACCCAAAAAATAATTAGTAAATATAAAGGGGAAAATAGTAATTTTACTATGAAGAATCCTGGCAGACACCACTGTACCCAATTATTTAAGGTAACATGAACAAAACAACAGTTTCTATGGAAAGTAACCTCAAAAGGTGATCTGATCATAAATACTTAACTGGGCTTGTCAGGATGTATAGTCATCCCCCTGGCCCATAACCTCTAATAAAAGGCTTATCTTTGCCTTGAGCAAGTCTTGTCCATTGTTTCTGTGCATGTAGGTTAACACAACACGCTGTTGAAATGCCCCCTTTCAGATCCCTCTTAAAGCATAACCACCCTCAAGAGAGCACATAATCTTTTATTTTATTAATATGATTTTATTGATTTTCAGGGAGAGAAATAACGATTGGTTTCCCGCACAGGGATCAAACCCACAACCTGGATATGTGCCCTGACTGGAACTGGGGATCTTTCAGTACACAGGGCAGCGCTTAACCAACTGAACCACACGGCCAGGGCTGAGAGCACATAACCTTAATTAGTAATCCGATCCCCACCTTGCTTTCTCCCACCTTCAAATAATTCTTACGTTCCCTCCTCGATTTTCAAGTACATGAAAGAAACTGCAAACTTATTCTCAGTCTGTTGAGATCTTGCTTCAAGCGCATCCTCTGACTCAAATTTTTATAACAATTCTCTCTAGGTTTGGACATTCTTTCATTGACAGTAATCATTAATAGTACATTTCTCA